AAAAAAAAAAAAAAAAAAAAAAAAAAAAAAAAAAAAAAAAAAAAAAAAAAAAAAAAATTACTTTGTATTCTTGGAATGTAATTTCATAAAAAAAAAATGAAATTAATTTGAAAATAAACTATAGATGTTTTATATAAAAAAACTTCTTTTTTATAAAAATAATTAAAGATAAATAAACGGAAAAAAAATTTAATCAAGTTCAATTTAAATATTTATATTCATTATTTTAATGAATGGTTTAGATTTAAAAAATTTAGGATGAATAAAAATAATATATATCAACCCAATGCAAGTGAATACCCTAATCTCTGTTTACTTTTTTGAAGTCAAAATATCTATATGTTCGGTGAGGTCAAAGATTCCATACTTATTCTATAATTATTAAACTAAAAGAATATGGTTTACATAAGTTAAAAGTAAATATAATATTTAAAAGTGAATTTATACATCAAATCTCCCCTTTTATTATTCTTTTCTATTGATAACAAATATTAAAATATATAAAAGATTATGGGTGGGAAGTTTAAAAAGTACAACATAGTGAATTTGCTATTTTTATCCTAAAAAAATTTAAGAAAAAAATCGAAACAAATATATATATACACACGTAAGTATATATTATTTAGTTAACAAGGGATTCCCATAAATAGACGTGTCTAATTAAAAAGAGAAGAAAAAATAAGCTATAAAAATTAAGTTAATAGAATAAGAATGAGATTCTAATTTAGAAATAATTTCACGTTTTATTCTCATTCCTCACTTTAGTAAACAAAAAAAAATTGGGTCCCACAATTTTTATTCTAATTCTTAATTAGGAAATGCTCTATTAATAGTCAACTACTTTTTAAAAAGACTATATATATATATATATATATAAAAAGTAGTTGCTTCACAAAATACATCAAACTTGAGTGTTGGATAAAATGTTCATATGAACTTTTATATGATATGTGAATTATAAATTTTTCTAATGAACTAATTAATTCTATATTAGTTCCGTTTACGACAAGGGAAACTGTCAGGTACTAAAAACCTAATGTAATTATTGAAAAAGTGAATAATATTTAAAATAACTGAAATAAATATTAGAATATTAGAATCAAAGTCAAATTTAATATTTAAGAAAGGGAGCTTCAGAGTGCTCTCCCAATTTTTGTGGATTCTTTGAAAATGAATTTTCTTTTTTTTTTTTAAATAAAAAATAAAAAATAAAAAATTGAAAAACGGTGCCTTGGTGTTCAAACCTTATCCACAATTGGGTCCCACTCTACAGCATAGTCCAAAATCACACCACGTGGACGGGACGCACTTACGTGTGCAAAAAGTTTTCGACACGTTTCACATTTGTCCATCTCCAACCAAAATCTAAAACGGAAAGCCGCAATCACTTACCATGAGGAACATTGCCAGGCGGGTCCCACGAATTCCTCGCGTGCTGCCACGTGCCTCCCAATAAAACGACAAATCTTAAACCAAAATAGTGTCTCTCTTCTCCAAGAAAATTATCCAAATAACTTTTTATTATTTTTTCAAAAAAGAAATAAAATTACAAAATCCAGAGTTTGTAATTAACGGGACAGTCCCGAATGGACTGGAATGGGGCTGACGTGGAAGCTTGGATTTGGGGGCGGGGGCGAGGGCAATTAAGTCAATTGAGTTTGCCGTCTGCAAAGGCTCTATAAGTTTTAAGGGCGTGGCGTGCCACTGCGCTTCTTCCTCCACCGAATTGGAAACCGAACGTAGCCGTTAACCTTGTACAAAGAGAAACAACATAAACCACTGCGATTTTGCCGCCGGCGATTTCCCTCACTTCTCACTCACTCGCTGTAGCTCGACTTCTGCTCCGACTGAGTTTTTCAAGAATCGCTGATCTTTCCCGCCGGCTAGATGGTTCAGCTGATGAATTCGGGCACGGAGAATATTCCGACGGCGACGAAGAGGCTGAAGAAGGAGGTTGAGGATTCTTTTGACGACCCACGCGATCAGTTTCACAAGCGTTCCAAATCCGAGTCCTCTTCCCAGGTGTTGCTCTGATTTTCTCTCAATCATCTGATTCAAATTGTTCATAAATAAGCGATTCTTTCTGGTTCTTTTGTGGCGGTAATAGAAAACAGAGTACTTTGTGGATGATATTTGAACTTACAACAGGGTTTTGCTTTTCTGATTTTGTTTTTGAATATGCAGAGGTGGACATCAGAAGCCAATGTGTTTTCCATATCGTCCACTCCGTACAATCCTCTAGATGAGCCAAGTCCATTGGGTTTGAGCCTAAAAAAGAGTCCGTCTTTGTTGGATTTGATTCAAGCAAAACTGTCACAGGAAACTGCTGAATTAGCGACTATAAGCAAGGAGCAGCAGAAGGGAGCCAATGGTTTTAGTACTGCAGACAAGCTCAAGGCTTCTAACTTCCCTGCGTTAATTCTCAAGATTGGTACTTGGGAGGTACTTATCTGGTTTCCCCTTTGGCTGCTTGCCTGTTTACAACTTTATTCTTAATTGTGGTTCTGGTTTTCTTGATTTGCAGTATAAGTCGAGATACGAAGGAGATTTAGTGGCGAAGTGTTACTTCGCCAAGCATAAGTTGGTTTGGGAACTTCTAGATGGGAACCTTAAGAACAAGATTGAAATCCAATGGTCAGATATCATCAACCTCAAGGCGACTTACGCCGACGATGGTCTCGGGACTTTGGATGTCGTAGTGAGTTACATTGTTTCCTTCATCAAGTTGTGTGATTTGCAGCCTCTACTTCATAGGTGTTTTACCATTATGTATTTCATTCTGTTTTGCAGCTGGCGAGACAGCCCCTTTTCTTTAGGGAAATAAATCCACAGCCTAAGAAGCATACTTTATGGCAAACAACAGCTGACTTTACTGGTGGAGAAGCAAGCAGACACAGGTGCCTGATTCATTTCTGTTGCTCAGCCTGACAATTTGGGTTTTTTTTTTAAAACATGGATTCTACTTCTGTATACTTCTGCAGAAAGCATTTCCTGCAGTGTTCACAGGGCTTGTTAAACAAGCATTTTGAGAAGCTCATACGTTGCGATCCTCGTCTCAACTTTTTAAGCCAACAGCCAGATATTGTGTTGGAATGTCCATATTTTAAGACCAATGGTTCAAATGAATCCGAAGAAGGAATTGATTTGAAGAGGGAGGAAGGAGCTACTTTCTTTAGTTTAGGTATGGTGTCGTCATCTGGAGCTCGATCACCTTCCACCATTAAAGAACATGAGTGTCTTGCCGGTGCTTCTGAAGAATATTCTGAGCAATCTCGATCATCTAACTCAGGTAACGACATGAATATAATGAAAGATGGTTCCACTAAAACATCCATGTTTTAATTCTGTCTTCAAGCTGCTGCTGCCTTTTCACCTTATCTCTGCAAATAATTTGACTTGCTAACTATACATTTCAGGGCTGGAAGCTCGCATGACGACTGAAGAATTGAGAAACCATGGATCAGAAAGTTCAAGACTGTTCAACAAATGGGATCAAGTCATTGTTCCTGGAATCCGTCCATCAATGTCTGTTAGTGATTTTTTCAGTCATATTGAACACTGCCTATCACAGCAGATGACACGCACCGGCTACATGTTTTCTGAAGAAAATCAACAAAGCAGAGAGGGCACGGAGGGACTTACACGGTATCTTTTTGGTGATTCTGAACATGCATCCGACTCTGGTGAACACAGACCATCATGTCCAGGCTGAATTCCCTATGTTGTCTTCTGCAGAAGAATATTCTTCAATGTCTAGAACTTCGTAAACCAAAACCTAGTCATAATAGCCTCAACATCGGTGCAGCAACACCAAACCCATTTGCAAGAAGGCTTCCCTGCACGCAATGGCTCGATGTTAAGGAACGATTAGGTGGGTGGGTTTCTGCTTAACCTTCCAAGAATAGCTGCTCTCCCTCAGTTTTTGTTCAACTTGTTCGATGATGGTTCTGATGACCGTGCTAGAAAGCCTTTACTTTGGTTCAGCTTGTTAATAGAGAACCTAGAAAAGCCTCTTAATCAGGTCTCTGCTGAAAAGAACAAAGGAGAAGAAAAGCATTTCCCCTATCGTCCCATTACTGTGTAGTTAATAACAGGTGCCTCTTCACAAGTCCACTTGTGCGAACATAAGCAGGGTGCTTATTATATATGTGCCTATATCGACCAATGGCAAACCTTCTCTTTCTTCTCGACTTTGTAAAGGTACGAGGCAGGTTGAGATATTTTTTGATACTAAATCCTGAAATCTTGTTCAAATCCCATACAACACCATCGGCACATAGAATATCTATTGAATTATTCTTTTTAAGTTCACAAGTTTGAGATGAGCAAACTTGACTCGTTCTTCTTTCTTAGGATGCCTAGAAATCACGAATAGATCCAAGAAAACAAAGCACTATCATCTAGCTTTCTATCACTAAATTTTCGTGGGTTAGAAGATATAAGTAGACTAGAATTCACTCTTTTTTTCTTTAGATTTCTTGAAATCATGTAATATTTTAAAAATCTTGGTTCAAACTGGAGATTGTTAATTGACATTATTGAATGTCATTGAGGTTTGACATGCCCAAGTTTTATGCGGAAAACACAGATGCAGAAGAACAAGTACCTGCCGTGGCCTTTCCCAATCAAGTGGACCATGCGCAAAACCACTCTCCAATAATGGCGCCATGAGCTGGAATGCATAGCATGTGATCAACAGTTCCATTTGGCCTGCAATTGCACATAAAAATTTTATTTTAAGTTTGTATTTACCTTATTGTATGTTAACTAAACATCTTACAAGTAAAAGAATGCATCCACGTCAAGTAGATATTTTAACAGATCAGACTGAGAAGGAAGAGAGATAATATGTCTGGAGGCCAGTTAAGGGTCTTTGAGAAGTATCTGTGCGAAGGAGAAGTACTCAGAGCATGTATATGAAAGCACATAAAGTAACAAATGTAATGATCATCATGATTCAGCCTCGAGAAAGGTAAGACGTGTGGAGCATCACTATTATAATGATAAAACAATCAACCATGACAAATGATGCTACTGATGATTAATCTTCTTCCCAATTTGAATTCCACTCGAAATATTCACAATATGGATTGACAGAAAAGGGAAACGTAGTGTCCCACAAATGGTTGGTGATAAAATACCAGCAGAAAGTGAGAGCAGATCTTGACTTATTTATAGGAAAAATTCTTGATTAAATCTTCCATTCAAACCATAATATTCAAATCTTGCAATCCATGGAAGATGAAAAGTACAGCTTTTCAATCACTCCTTCACGTACGAAGCACCAATAGGAGCGAGCGCCTAGAACTATTGCTCCAAAAGCATTATAAGAAAAGGCCACATCGATCCGATTATGACATGTTCAGCCAGCAGAACCAAACAGCTATATATCATTTGGATAAGAAAAACAAAAATGGCTATAACAACTATTACAATCCTTCCTTCTGACACTCTTAAAAACTCCCACAGCACGACATTTGAAGTCTCATTTCATATCAAATTTGAGCCATACGCAATCTGAGAAGTAGTTAACGACTTAACATAAATTTGAGCCATTTCATACTTTTCTATAGGTTCTATTTTGCACAATGAAGACTCATTCTTTTGAGAGGGCTTCCTTATGAATGCTTTTATTTTCGTATGCTTGTTTCATTTATTATCAATCTAAACTAATAAAAATCAAAAGAAGGCAAGTGGAATGAGCTTTTACATACTAACCAGTAGGGAGTCCAAGTATGCCTCGCGCCACAGCTTTCAAGTACTGCAAATTCGCACAGAACACAGTCCAAATTTTAATTCGTTATTTGGTTCCATAACACTCCACACCTTTTTTCCCACGAACAAATAGAGTAAAATGAAACAAGCGAAGAGAGTCAACTATACCGAGAATTGCTTTCGGTCCGTACGATAACGGTGTGAATGTTTGATTAATCCACCACACCTAAATGGTGTGAAAGTTATCTTATTTATAATCAAATGAATTACAAGGATATGGAAATAGTAATAAATGGAAATAACAATAAATGAAAAGATACCTATGATAATAAAGCAAATATTAGATATTTGCCTTATAATAAAATATCAAATATAATATATATGGTAAACTATAATTTATTACTAAATATCCTTAACACCCCACCGCAAGCTAAGCGTCGGATTTAAACGAACGTGAAGCTTGAATCTGAAAAATTCAAAGAGGTTGAGAAACACTTTTCATGAAGATGCTAACAACACGGTTCTTGGCCATAAAAAATTGTAGAGGGATCGCCGCTCAGCGGCGATGCTGCCTTGACTTCGGCGAGAATATGTCTAACCCATGAAGAGGGATTGTCGCTTAGCGACGATGTTGCCTTGGCTCTGGTGAGAATATTTCTAACCCCAAGAAGTAAAAGGGGAAACCTAGAGCAAGGGACAAAGACAATGTTGAAGCCTGAAGAGTCGCCACATTGGGCGAAGGAGCCAATTTTGGCGAGAAGGGCAGTCGGAAGAGTCGCCTCATCGGGCGAAGAAGCCAATTTTGGCAGGAAGGGCGGCGGCAACTTGGTTGGCGAATAGGCCAGTGCGGCACCCAGATTCCGAAGGTAACTCTCTGCAAAAGGTTGATAGGTTTAGGTTAGGGTTTATGTGAAGGATGAAGGTTGATTGGGAAGAAAATGAGAGAGACTATATTGGCCAAGGGGAAAACCGATTGGGTTAGAAAAGGTGAGGTTGTATGTACAGAGTATGACAAAAAGTGATTTGGAGGTCAATAGGGTGGAGCCGAAGAGTAATCAATCGGCTCCGACTACGGCAGCCATGAAGACTGCCCCTGCGGCGTCAAAACCAGCAGGGGTGGTGGAGAAGAAGATTAGAGGATTCAAAAGCCATTGAAAAGAAAGGATCGGGGTTGTTAAACCGAGAGGGCTCTGATACCATGTGAATGTTTGATTAATCCACCACACCTAAATGGTGTGAAAGTTATCTTATTTATAATCAAATGAATTACAAGGATATGGAAATAGTAATAAATGGAAATAACAATAAATGAAAAGATACCTATGATAATAAAGCAAATATTAGATATTTGCCTTATAAATGGAAATAACAATAAATGAAAAGATACCTATGATAATAAAGCAAATATTAGATATTTGCCTTATAATAAAATATCAAATATAATATATATGGTAAACTATAATTTATTACTAAATATCCTTAACAACACTCCACACCTTTTTTCCCACGAACAAATAGAGTAAAATGAAACAAGCGAAGAGAGTCAACTATACCGAGAATTGCTTTCGGTCCGTACGATAACGGCTGTAAAGAAGAATCACAATCGGAGAATCAACAGCCTGAACAAGGAGAAGAAGATAGATCCTTCAAAATGTAGAAAGCAGATTCGAAAACAGAAACCTGGGGAAGAGGAGGGATGAAGTTGAAGCGAGTTGAGAGAAGACGCACGCTAATCAAGAGAGAGTGCGAGAAGGATCGGAGATGCGATCGGTAGAGTAGATATAGCGAGCAATCCAGAAGGCAGGCCGCAGATCAGGTGGACGAAGAACGGCTCTACAATTGTTACGGGAGTTGAGGCTTTACCAGCCATCTCCTCCTTCTCCTTCTCCTTCTCCTTCTCCTTCTCCTTCTCCATCTCCATCTCCGTCTCCGTTTCCATAACTGTACCTTCTCGTAGCTCATACGGCAATCCCCCGCTATAAGCTTTTAAAGAAATAAAAATATTTTTATCTTTTCTTTCTTTCTTTTTTTTTTTTTTTTTTTTTTTTTTTTT